CCCCCCTCCCCCCCCAATTTTGTTCTTGTTCAATTCTAGCTTTATTAGCCGCTCAAGCCAGATTTCCTCCAACATAGCAGTGAAAGCCTGTAACCTGTCAAGTCCCTCCAAAACCTCCTTCAATTGTTTTTGGAAGTTTAGTGCCTGTATAATCTAAATGATGTTTGATCAAAGTCCTTGCTTATACAACACATTGTTTCCAAGTCACCTAAATGTTGAAAATGCAGACAATCATTCACTGAGTTCCATGAATCTGTCATAACTAGAAAGATGCCTGAAAAAGTCCTTTAAGCAACAAAGACACTGGAGATGGATGCGGAATTTTTGAATTGCCAATGGGTTTTGAACTTGCTTCTTTCCTACAGACATTAAGCAGTTATTAAATAATGATTAGCACACCATGAGTAATTTGAGGAAATGGATATAGTGAAGTCAATGTTCGCATACGAATTACAACTTTCCTCAAATGTCCATCTTTACCCTGTCCCTTTTTACGGTATCATCAAACTGATGATCTGCCATTTTGAGGTGCAGAAGGTAACAGCAATTATTCCTTAATAAATCTCTTGCTGAAGTGCTGCTGGAAGCAGTGGAACAGATACATACTTAAATTACTGACAGCTTAAGTGTTTCATTTAGGCAGCACTTCATTTCCACTGTTCTTACCATATCCTTGAACATTAAGCACATTGAATGAAATTCACATACTAACACTTGGTAGTCACGACACATAAATCAGCTGCTTCCAAGTTGTCCCAGTGATCTACATTGGGAATTTATATTGCCATAGTTATGTCATGCCCCATAGACACTTAGTGATGCTGGCCTAATCCCCAATGTAGACACTGTTGACCCAGGTACCACTTCTTGGAAAGGTGAATTACCTACGCCAACAGGAGAACCCCTTCCCTTCCATTAGCATAGGTGTCTAAACTGAAGCACTAGAATGGCATAACTGCAGCTGTACTACTATAGCAGTTAAGTGTCCTCAGAGTGAGAAACTACCATCTAGTGCAGGGGTAAGCAATCTTTCAGAAGTGGTGTGCTGAGTCTTCATTTATTCACTCTAATTTAAGGTTTTGCATGACAGTAATACTTTAACATTTTAAAGTGTCTTTCTATAAGTCTAGAATAGATAACTAAACTATTGTTGGATGTCAAGTAAATGTTTTTAAAATGTTTAAGAAGCTTCATTTAAAATTAAATTAAAATGCAGAGCCCCCCAGACGAGTGGCCAGGACTCGGGCAATGTGAGTGCCACTGAAAATCAATTCACATGCCTACCCCTGATCTAGTGCATGGTTTCTCAAGATAGAAGATCATGAACCCCAAACAAGTATTGGGAGCATGACCATCTTGTCACTCCCATATCCCTACAAAGTCTCAGCATGGAAAAGACTGAGAACCACTAATTTAGTGAAAATTAAGATGAGAAGCCAACTTCAGAAAAATAAAATGCACTGTCCACCTTCTAGAAGTTTTTAAACAATTCACAGCTCCACAATCCCTGTGAGTTCACAATCCCCAATAATCAAGTCCCTCACCACAAGCTAATAGACAATTTTGGAGCTCTCATTTCCTAGCGGGCATAACAAGGCCCTTATCAGTCTCCTAGGGCTTTTGAGGGGCAGACCACTGAGCTTTCATTCCCAGAGTGAAACTGAAGCCTAGCAACAAGAACTCTCAGGCGCCCTCACTTAATTCAGGGTGACAGATCTGCACATAAAGGGCCCGGGGAACCCACGGAGCATTTTCTCGAGCGTCCCCAGCCCGGACGATAGGGCACGTGCTACACTCCAACCACAGGGCGGCGGGCCCGAGGTTGCAGGCGGAGGCGGCTGGCCAGTCCCGTGGCTGGGCCAGGCCATTAGCGGTGACGCCAGCCCTGGAGCTGCTCGCTGGATCCGCAGAGGTGACCCCGGGCACAGCAAGCTCGGCTCAGGGGCCACCAGCGCACTGCGAGGGAGCGGCCCAGCTGCCACGGGCCCTGCCTCCGGCGCCGCGCTGGACACGCAGCTCGCCGCCCGCGGCAGAAGAGGTGACGCGCGAGTTCAGCGCATGCGTCGGCGGGTGTGTGAGGTGGCGGTTTCCAATCCAGGCGCCTGTCAGCCCCGCGGAGATAGGGCCGCTCGCTCAGGCGGCCCCGGGAAGGGGGGCGAGCAGGTGCCGCCTGCCCGGAGAACCCTGCAAGGAGGAGCGCGCCCAAAGCCCGGCCGCGCAGCCAGACAGGGCGGCTCCGCTGGCCGAGGCCCGGCTACCCCCCATCCGCCGAGACCCCCCGTCCCTCGAGCACCAGCGCATCATGGGAAATGTAGTTTCTCGTTCTCGGCGCCCAACAGAAGAGTCTGGGACAGGCCGCAGGAGAAAACTACCGCTCCCAGGATGCCTCGCGGCTCCTACCTGCTCCGCGCTGGTGGTTGCTCCCTCGCTTCTTTGACTTGGGCATGGCTACCGGCGGTGCGCAGCTCCCCTCTGTGGGTCTCGGTCTCTCGGTTCCCCCCCGCCCGGGTCTCAGCGACAATCAGCCGATGGAGGAGCAGGAGCGCTTTTTACTACAGCGTCTCTGCGGGGCTGACTTCCCGGACCGAGGCAGTGGAGGGGATTGGCGGAGGCAGGCGAAGGACGAGTCGGTGGTGGCGGTAGAAATCCCCGTGAAGTCCCGTGAGCAGAATCGATGCATCTTTCTCCTCTCAGACACCTGGAGCTAAAGGCGAAGAGACGGCGCCGACGCCGCTTTTATAGCCGAACGGGCTAAGGGGGCGGGCAGAGTGACGCATTGCTGACGTCAACCGGATATAACCAATGATCAGCTCTGGTTTACAGGACTCGTGACGCATATGCGCCTGGTGACCGATCATGGTGGCGCGTTGCCTGTTGGGATGTGTAGTCCCATCAGGCTCACAAGGACAGCCTCCCGCGGCAGCACTGGTAGTGTGTAAGAGCATCCCAGGACATCATTGCATGCTGGGAAATGTAGGCTCAGCCTCTCTGGGCTATGGTAGGACGCCGTGGAGCGCACGTCGGCTTCCCCTCTACAGGCGTGTCCCTGTCTGACCTGCTGAGTGGATGTTGCTGAGCGGAGCGCACGCAGGTCCCGGTGGAGCGGTTGGAGTAAAACAGCTGAGACTCACACAGGCGCTTGAGTCAGATCAGAGCCTTCTGGTGCTGCTAGGGCTCATGGATCTGGGGAGAGATGGTAAAAATGGCTCTTCCTGAAACACACACAGTACAGTCCCCTCCCCACCAAGGGGAGGAGAATAGCACTGAGAATGAGGTGAACAGAGCACTCTTCCTTTCCCCCCTTTCCATGGCTTGTAGCATGGTGTTATATGTGTCTTAATTTAGCCCCATAACGCAGCAGTTCCCAACTATAGTACATGTACCGGAGGCTGGTGGAGACGAATTGGCTGGTCACACGATGCTAGTCTGGCTCTCCTCATATCCAGCTGCGATGTCGCATTAAAGACAGCTAAAAATACATTGAATATTTAACTACTAATCTGCTATGGGATTGCCACAGAGATATTATGTGATCATGAATGGAAGGAAAGGCAATCCACGCAATTGTGAATGGGAGAGGGTGGAGGCATCTGAAAAGATGTACGCATATGCCATAGAACCATTCCACCTTGCATTTTGCCGTGATGCTGGGAGTACCTTTCCCAGATCTGAAGAAGAGCTCTGTGTGCGACTCAAAAGCTTGTCTCTGTCACCAACAGAAGTTAGTCCAATAAAAGATTTTACCTCACATTATATCATCTTGTCTCATATCCTGCGACCAGCACTGCACACGTACAAGAATCGAATAGAGCAATTATAAATGTAACTTGATGTTCTTAATACAATGTACAATCGTTATTCAATGGAAGTGAAATGTAAATAGAATGTTAATTATGGCTAAAGATTACAAAAGGCAAAAATGTTCATAGAAAGAATCAAAAGGCACAGATCTGCTAGTCCAGACAAGGAAAACATCATTATTGTGTTTATTCTGCCATTAAGGTATCTACAGGCTATTCTATTCTATATAGGGTCTTATACCACACATCACTGTAGTAGCTATCATTTCTCTGCCGTTTTGGGATGTAGTTGGTTGTGTAGAATTTAACAATTTAAATTAATATTCTAGTTAAAATAACTTTAGATCAGTGGCAGATTAACGCACGGGCCCACAGGGCCTGTGCCCAGGGGCCCCAGCCAATTTGGGAGCCCCCAATCTGGCCGTGGGCCCCGGAATCCAGCCACGGCGGGTGGGCTCTGGCCCCAGGTTCACCCCTCTGCCGTTGCCATAGCCCACGTTGTCTCCTCCAGCCCCAGGCTTTGGCCTCATGTGGCCTTTGGCAGGTTCTGTCCCACAGCCGCAGGCCCCGGGCTCATCACCCCTTCCCCATTGCCTGTGGCCCCTGCTGCCATCTCAGCCCCCAGCTGCATGCTCCATCCCCTGGCTGCAGGGCTTTTGGCTCGGGCCTAGGATCTGGCTACGGTACTTTGGGCTCTCGGGCTCTGGTCCCTGGCTGTATCCTTGCCGCTCCTGGCTTCTCACACTCCCCCCCATTGCCCTGGCCCTCACTGCCTTCCTATCCACCTCTCCATTCAGGGCTTAATTTGTCCCTGGGCTTGCTGGGGCTGAGTAAGTCTGCTGTGAAAAGTGATATTAACATACAAGTATCACAAGCAGCAGACTTACTAGCTAGCTAGTCTAAAAAAAAAAGGAGCCACAAAAGCCAACGAAATAACAAAAAAGACAAGAACATGCAAAGCACCTTATTTATGTTTCTATTCTGTTTAGGTCTGGTAAAGAATAGAGACAACTGTATATTATTTTTATTACTGAGCCTGCAAAACCATACATAAATCAATTATAATGATTTGGAAATGTATATATGTGTATTTATTTGCCTTTTCTAAAGTTAATTAAGTATTTTAGGAAAAAGGGTGGGCGAAGCAACCAGCAAGAGATGCAGCCCTGGTGAGGAGCTCCCAATGCATAATGGTCAGGTTTAAGAAAACTGGGGGAGATGAAAGAACCACTTGTTGACCTGTGAATGACT